TCTACCTAATTTATGTCTCAAAACAATTTCTAACATAAATGAGATAGGTCGGACCAAAACATGAATTCTCATTTTTATAAACATATAAAAAGGTAAAAATAAAAATAATATTTTTTAAAAAGTTTCCAATATGAATTTAACTATTTTTTTCCAATACAACACATATGTTAAACTAATAAACAAAATAAAAAATTAACTATATTTCATAAAACTGAAAATTAAAATAAAAAACATTATTAAATGAAATAAACTAAATATAAAGTAAATTATACTAAGATGTTAAATTTAAAAATTGTTCCATATGAAAAAACAAAAAAATATATAAAACATAAAATCAGAAAAATATATATAATAGTATATAAATGATCATTACGAGATATAAAGTACCACAAATCCAAAAAAGAAAAACGTAAAACAAAAAAAAAAAATTATGACAGTATATAAAGAGATAATGTAAACAATTAAAAATATAATAATCCGCCCGAAACCCACAAATCATGTTCAAATTTCATGCCAACATATAAAAGGGCCCAAAATATTAACATCTATGTCTATATTTGGTAAAAACCCTAATAGCACACGTTTCTTAATGATTCTCAACCGCACTTCCATTTACGCCCACACTTCGACTTATACTATACACACTTAATTTCTCAACAACTAATGAAGCTAAAACTCAATAGTTTTTCTATTAAAACACAATTTAAGTTTTTAAAAAGTAGAGTATGATATAGTGAAAAAAAATAAGTAGAAAATAAAATACGAACTAATTACTCATAGACAACCGACTAGAACAATATATTCCCAACTTAAACATAAATCCAAACTTAGAATTTAAATATAAAAAAACACATCGGATTCAGCATATTATCAATTGATTCAAAAAACAATAAATCCTAATTAATAAAACATAAAATTCACTTAAATTACATAAACCGTAAAATTGATTTTAGATACAAAGTTAAATGACATTACCCAAACACATTCCGATTAACCATAAATATATCCACTTCAATTAATCGACTCTTCGGCAAAGTAATTGCAGCTTTTGCTTTTATAATCCGAGATGATAGATCTAATTCCGATTATAAAAAGAAAATTCTAAATACCTTTTTTATAATCGGTACAAGAAAGTAAAAGTTGTTATCTACAAGATTATTTATTTGAGTTGGCCTAAGGATAGATTAATTTTTTGGTCTGACGCGTTTTATTCTGAAATAAGAAACAAAAATTACACTTTGTCTGCTACAAAGGCCAATAAAGCCCAAAAATATTATTATTATTTTATTTAAATTGAGCCCAAAGATAAATACTAGACAATAATCATAGCCCAACAAACAATAAAAACTTTAAATAATTTTTTTAACATATAAACAAAAAAATAACAAAATTAAATTAATAAAGACATTGTTCCATTCACATACAAATAAATTATAACTATATTCAATTGTTATTGTGAAATTTAAAACCCCAAATGATGGAAATTTTAAAAATACCAATATTGCCTTTGACTACATCTATAAATTACATTCAACTCATCATAATATATCATCGTTTAATACACATTCTTTTATTTGTTTTAGTTATATATTATATTTCATTTCTGAATACAAACTTTTCCCAAAAAATTGGAACTAAATATATATTTCGAAATAATATTTGTTGATATTAAAATATATGAGATAATAACACATACGATATAACACGTTAAAAATAAAATAAATTCGAAAGTATTCCCCCGCGCTGTAGCGCGGGTCCGAACCTAGTTATAGTTTAAATAGAAAAGTAACTTTACATGTAAGCACAATCTCAAATGCGCAAACATAATTATTATCTAGAAAAATCTTAATATAGAGTCAAATTTTAAATTTAAAGTTAATTTTTAAATCTAAATTTATACTCAAAACATATTTGATATTAGGGAAAATATATTACGTAATGTGGATCATATTTTTCTTACCTTTTTGTAATTGAAATCTTTTAAAAAGCATATTACATAGTGCAAATTTATTTTCCATCAATAATTTATGATAAATAAAACATAATGCAAGTTTGCACACGTCCTTAGTAAATAATTTATGATAAGAAAAACTTTTTAATTAGTTTTAAATTGAGTAAATTTATGATTTAAAACATCATTTAAATTAAAATGCAAATAAAATCTCCAATACAAAATCCATTCATATTTAAAATCAATTTTTGACTCAAATTTTTGACTCAAATTTTCTTTTATGGCAAAAGATATTAAGGTGGAAGATTTTATACCAATATATGCATATATATATATATATATAAACACATTGCCTACTGGGCTCTTCATAGATTATAACAAAAAAAAGAGCAAGGTAAACCATGTTTTACATAAGATTTTAAAGGAAATGTTATATACCCTTATTTAAAAAGAAACCATTATTTTCTATAAAACAGTGAACAATTAGTCATTGACGAATTTTCTAACATTTATATGAACATTGTTTTTTTTTAGGTTTTTTATTTTTTTTGTGAACGCTGTTGCTTTCTCCAGAAACACAAGTAATGACAACTATAAAGTTTTCAGCGTTTTTATTACTTTCATTGATGATGTTTGCTCTCGTCTGTGTGTCTATGATTTCAGGTAACATTTAATTGAAGTATGTATTCTTTTAAAATTAAAATACCTAGTGAAAATAATATTTAATCTTATAACCATTCAAAAGCGTTGTTCGCACTTAAGATTAATATAAATTATTATTATTGTGTAAAAATTAATATTTTTTATGTTAAACAGCTTTACTTGCGAAACAAGCTTGGCGAATCATTAAACAACCAGAATCTTTATTTGCTCGTATTATGAAAGTTATGTACTTCTGTGATTGTTCAATATTAGATGCAAAAAATAGATCAAAACAATCGTATGGATGGGCATCGATTCTTGCAGGTTTAGAAGTTATTAAAAAAGGAACACGATTCAAAATTGGCGATGGTGAGCATATTCGTATAAATAAAGACAATGTCTCTTTCACACATCCTCCTAGACCGGTTTATAGTATTAATCCAGATGCGGAGATTCATATAAGTGAATTGATCTCGACGACTAGAGGATATAGACAATGGGATACGAGGAAACTTTCGGAAAAAATAAGACCTTAGGACCATGCTCTTTTACAAGATATTTACCTTTCTCAGCAAGTAACTGCAGATGATGTGGTTTGGCACTACAACAAGACAGGGGAGTATTCCGTGCGATCCGGTTATTGGATTACCATGAACGACCCCAATACTTTGGCTACTCGTCCACCTTTACCTCACGGCTCCACTTATTTAAAGAACAAAATATGGAAACTTGATATTCTTCCCAAAATAAAACATTTCCTTTGGCGTTTCATTACTCGATCTTTAGCCACAATTACAAGATTAAATTCTAGGGGAATGAACATAGATCCAGTATGTCCGCGTTGCTTTAGGGCGGATGAAACAATAAATCATATTTTTTTCACTTGCCCTTATGTTAAACGTATTTGGGATTCTTCTCATATTCACCTTCCTAATCTATATACTCCTTCCATTGATAGTGAACAAAATTTAAAAAATATTATTGACTTTCAGTTCACATCCTTCTCCCAACAAGAAAGAATGCTACCTTTGTGGCTTCTTTGGCATATTTGGAAATCGAGAAATAAATTTATTTTTGAAGGTGTTTGGCTCTCTCAGTCCAAGGTTCTACATAAATCAAGATGCGATGTTCAGGCCTGGATGAATCATACTTCTATAGATCAAAATTCTATCACTCCGGAGACTAGATCTTCACCTCAAAGAGTATGGACTCGGCCACCGGTCGACATTCTAAAATGTAATTTTGACGCGGCTTTTGATAACTTTTCTAAGAGAACAATGGGGG